AAGCAGACCCTGGATAAAATAATAAGTGTGCAGGTACACACAAACAGTTATGGGACGTATAATCATAGAATGAAAAGTACATAAATATGAAAGGTAATTACATTTAAGATCACAACTCCCTATGAAGATAATAGGACTATTGAAGAGATAGAAATTGTTCATTGGCACAAAAATTTCTGATTTACTGAAGTCTATCCAGAATTCAGGACCTATCATACGAGTACGTAATAACCTAAAAGCTACTACACAACATAACCATCCATGAAGGAATTTGAAGTTTAGTCCCTAAACGTAATGTGGAATTTTATTTTAATTAAATGGATTTTGAGTACAGCTTCTACTACTTGATAGTAGTTGTCCTTGATTTTTTTTCGCTTTTTGTAGAAGTTCACAAAGCTACACACGAATGCGACTGATTAACCAAAACATTCACTTTGTTTGAAATCGTTTAGTTGTCAAATAAAAGGATCACTCTCATACTGTCTTCAAACTCAAAACCCGACTGAATGAAAACTTCATAAACTCCATCAATAAATATTTGGATTATAAAGAGGGCGAGAATTTAAAGGGATAGTGGTATTGTTTCTCGTTGAGTTAATTAACTGTTTTGGTCGTAAATTACGCATCAAAACTACTGATTACACATTAACTGAATCTACTCCAGTTAAAGTGATATTGTATTGAGTGTTTCGATTTTGCTTTTGTGTATTTATTGCATCGAAGCATACTTGGCCGACTTTTAATTGATTTATTTAGTTAAGGTTTGAGAATTCTTTTACATATCCTGTTTGTGTCACCATTGTAGTTGATTTTCAAGATGGCCAGCTCTGCTCATAAATGTGGACGACCATATTGCTTATCCTCCATGGAGGAAGGTATGCAATGTGATGAGTGTAATAAGTGGTTCCATAAGATGTGCGCCCGATTGAGCCCCACTGCATATAAAAAGTGCTCAAAGTTCAACTCTCATTGGCTTTGTAGTTTTTGTTGCTCGAGCAAAATATCAATCATCCAGTAGGCAATTAGCCTCTTGGTGTTGGCTAATAAGAAGGTTGATGAGAGATGTACTGGTAATATTGGTACTGATGGCGAAGATTGCGTTAGCGTCGTAGGTGCTGTCACGGCGCAAGCCAGACATCTAACTGTGCAACCCGCAGTTAAACCTTCTACCCTGGAACAATCAATGAGTGACACCTCATTAGATGTTCGTGGCCATGTTTCTACAGCAACAACCGGTGATCCAGATAAAAGAATTACTGTCCCGAGTGGTTCTAATGTAGATGCTACGACTGATGGAATGTGGGTGACACGGAAACTCAGAAGAGTAGGAAAGACAGCTAAAACTAATGACCGTTTACTTGGTAAGTCCTTGGCGGACTCAGACCACTCAACCAAAGTCCCAAATTAAAGCATCGTCAAACATTGTTATGAGTCACTCTCTTGACTCCCATGACTGTGTTACAATAAAAACTAACCGTAAGATACCAGTAGTTAATACTTAGGATCTAACGTCACGATCGAAAGCTGTGAACACGATTTCGAAAGAAGCTAAACCCCTTTTTAGTTTAATTATTTGGAATCTAGAGGAGTAGAATGACAACAACCCTGCTAAGAAACATGCATATGATCTGCAGTTAGTAGAAACTGTGGTAAGAAATGTATCACCCCAAAAGGTTCCAGGGGTACATATCACGAAAGTAATACGACTCGGTAAATGGGTTGGAGGCGAGACCTAACCAAGAAGGATCTTGAAGCTGGTTACCGGGAATTTTGAAGGAAGAGATATATTATTGAAAAACCCACAAAAAACTCGTGATTCAAATATTCGTATCCGACCAGATTGGCCGCTTGAGGATTGAATCAAGTGGAAGAATGCTCTTAAGGAGCTGAGAACTCGCAAGTTAAATGGCGAAGCTAACCCTACGATTAAGGGTTTTTGGGTAGTCAGGTCTTGGAAGCCAATGCTTCCGAGGCCTGTATGGGTTGAACGAATGATTACGAAAACACCTTATATGTGTGCTACACGAACGACCGTAGTCTTAGAAATAAGACGTCCGAGCTAAGCCTAATGGTGGAAGAATTAAGTCCCGACATAATTGTTATTGCAGAAACTTGGTTCACAGTAGATATAGGCTGTTCTCCCATCATTGCAGGCTATATCCGTATTAGAAGTGATGGAGTTTTAAGTTGCAAGGGGGGAGGCATAATGTTATACCTTAGGGATCACTTTCGTATACAATCAACCATATCGGAGGCTCATGCTAGTGGCACATGTGAGGTTGCATGTTGTAAGATTAAATATAGAAATGGGTTAGTGACTATAGGGGGGATATACCGTAGTCCGTGTTGTCTTGCTGACGACTTTATCTTAAGACACATCTGTTCTCGGAGTATGACAGAATGCTGTCTCATTATTGGGGACTTCAACGCACCGCTTATCAACTGAATAGAGCCTACAGCTGAAGGTGCTGGTTTCGATGGCGACCTTTTATCAACCGTCATTCAGTGTGCACTTGTACAATGTATCACAAAACCGACACATATTGACTTGAAACATGATCCGTCACTGCCCGCCACTGTGAGGATGTCTTTGATATTCAGCACCTTCTCCCACTAGTGAATAGTGATCACGTGGTACTTCACTTTAAGTTTAGGACACATGGTATACAATTCGTACCTGCTCCACCCCGTCCCGATATCTGGCGAGCTAATATTCCGGCAATCAGAAACTGTGCTATCTCGACTGACTGGTCGATCGACGCGGATGGATCAATCGAAGACTAATGGAATAAATTTAAGACTACATTCGAGTACACAACGTCACCGTTTATCCCATGGTCAGCACGTTAGTTATCACATTGCCCTCCATGAATGAATAAGGAAACCCGGAAGCTGTTAAAGCGTAAGAAACACTTCTGGAACTTATTCTTGTTGGCAGGTCACGCATCATTTAAGCGTGAGTACCATAAATGCCGAGATACCAGCCATTGAGTCTGTACAGGCGACTGAGGAAACTGCCCTTCCGTTGATAACTAACCTCAAACCTTGTAAGATACCGGGCCCTGACGGGTTACATCCACGACTGCTGTCATCTCTTGCGGACATTATTTCAAAGCCGCTTGCGACACTCTTCAACATGTCCCTTTCACTCGCTCAACTCCCTAGTGATTGGAAAGACACTATAGTCAGTCTTATATTTAAGGATGGCAAAAGACAGATCGTACCTAACTACCGGCCTGTCAGTCTAACTAGCATTGTCGTTAAGTTACTTGAAAAGATAATTCGTATTCTGTTGCTAAGCCACATAGATTTGTAGAACTATGGTCTACTATGATATTAGTGCTGCTCTAATAATAGACCTAATCCTAAATTTGTAGATTTGTCATGATATAACTACCTAATCTATAAGATCTTACTTGGAAGTTATACCATCGACTACGCCAACTCACTGTATCGTATCAATTACCAATACATGATGTAGAACAAGGTTAGGCTAGAGAAGGAACAATATATTTAATATGAATAGAAGATATAAGGTAACATTTAGATGGACCACGCCTGCATGGCCGAGCCATGCCATCCGATCAAACCCAGTCCATTCAATTCATTGTTCGCGCCTTCTCCATCGTTAGGTATTTATCTGCGTTAAATATTGAATATCTATTTTCCGAGTAGTCTCGTGTTGAGCTTTGTGGATTGTGCGGTTATTGTCCGATGCCACTACAGATTCACACAATCGGTTAGCCCCTGAGCAACATGGATTTCGTAAAAAGCGTTCATGCTTGACTAACTTACTTAGTGAGAGAGAGGATTGGACAACAGCCGTAGATAAAGGTCTGTCTGTCGATGCGATATTCATAGATTTTAGCAAAGCATTTGACAAGGTTTCACATTTGGGTCTTATGTAGAAGCTCACGAGCTTCGGAATAATAGGTACTGTACAGGAGTAGATAGGAAACTTCGTATGTGACCGCAGACAGAGAGTGAGGGTCACTGGGACGCTATCCGATTGTAAGCCGGTCAAAAGTGGTGTACCCCGAGGCAACATCTTTGACTCTCTGCTCTTCCTTCTCTACGTTAATGAGTTACCGCTGTTGCTCAGGTCGTCGAAATTATTGTTTGCGAATGACGTAAAATCTGGAGAACAATAAAAAGTGAAGCTGATCATCTGGATCTCCAAGCTGACTTTGACTATTTAGTCAGATGGGCTCAAGGTTGGGGCTTAGAAGCCAATTCTAGGAAGAATGTGCTAATGCACATCAGTCACGGTACTAGTTTTCATTATACTACTGATTGTAAACCCTTTCCATGCGTTCAAGAACATAGAGACTTAGGAGTAATAATAAGTCAATATTTTAAAAGTAACTGCGCATTGCAACGCAGCCGCTGCCAAAGGTTTTCGTGCGTTATGGTCACTTCGCCGAGCGTTCAAATCTTTTGACGAGGAAATGTTTTGAATTTTATATCCCACCTACGTAAGACCACATTTAGAGTACTGTATCCAAGCAGCTAGCCCATGTCTGGTAAAGGATACTAACTCACTTGAGCGTGTCCAGAGTGTGGGAACGAAATTAGTGGGGGTCTTTCTAAACTCTCTTACGATGAGCGTTTAAAATGCTTAAACCTTTTCCCCTTGTCGTACCGTAGGACGCGAGGTGACATTATACTGGCATTTCGCATCTTTGATTATGATTAGGGTGTTAATATGTCTTATATTTTCGCTCCCTCCAGCACTAATAATCTCCGAGGTCATGGCAAGAAGGTTCATAAACCGCGATCTAATAAACTTAAATTGGGGTCCTGTTTTTCTCATCGAAACGCCTTACTCGAACAAGTGGTATCAGCCCCATCAGTGAATATTTTCAAGGAGAAGCCGGACCTTCACTGGAAAACAATCTGTCAGGATTAACACAGGTTCACCGACCTACTATCCTTATTACTGAAGACTGATGACTGAAACATTTGTGTTTCGCGGGTTGTATGCGGTAAGCGTTACTCGGATGAGTAGTCCTACAGATGAGATCATACAACTAACTAATGACGACGCTACATCCAGTAAAGCTCATGCCATTTCTCGTGGATACTGGAAAGACAAGTATATCAGGTATTTTTGTTCCTCTCCGTCACACAAAACTCCGGAGATTAATCGTGGCTATTTTATAAGAACAACTGCATTCAGAGCGATTGCCATATCATTTATAAAGGTTCCTTACTTTTGAAAAATACAAATTACCTTATCCAGTCCACAGGTGGAGCCTGCCAAATTGTAAACCTTGGTGCAGGCTCAGATACATTGTACTTCGCGCTAAAAGATGCTCAGGAGACCCCAGAGCTATACGTCGAAGTAGACTTGGCATCTAACATTCAGCAAAAAGCTATGACAATACAACGAAGAAGGCTGCTTGAATCAACAAGTAACTCGCACACTTTTTATTATTCTTGTATGTAAAGTAAATTGGTCCTTTACGGACAGTTAATATTTTATAATTTAATGTACCTTTATCTGCTTATTAAACAATATTTTGGCTATTTGTTCCCGGACTTACTAAGCCCTACAAACTCACATTGTTAGTGGCGCTACACTGAATCATGTATGGATTTTATTTTTACAAAGTGTAATTCTCGACGTTCACCATTGTCATCCGTTTATGTGAGCAGCTAATAAGACTAGTATGTATGTCCCTCATTCTTTTAATATCTTCATGTCTAATTGTCAGAAATCCGATATTTCTGAGTATCGGTAAATGACACCGTATGGGTTCGCATGAAAATAGTTCAAAAGAATCTTGAAACCTTAAACGACAAACAGAAACAGTGAAGCGAGACATCAATTCAATCCAACCCACATTAAAGCCATTTTACACCATAAAGAAGATATTTGAAGTAGAGGAATTTAGTAAGGTCAAAATAAGGATACTAACCATGTTAATTTTTTTTAAATCGGGTAAACCATGCAAAATCAGGACAATTGGTTTGAGGTATTGTGACAGTCGAAAGTAAGACAAGGGCACTAATCGGATGTATATATTGTTGATTTCAAGCCCTGTCACATAAATACTCCATGCACTGATCTGGAATTCCGTGCTGACCCCGAAGCATTGTCATATGCTTTTACTTAGTGGTCTGCCCTCAATATTAATATTGCCAATTGTGTTATAAACATGGGTACGGCTATTTTATCGGGCGTAAGTTACCACTCAGTGATATTTATTTCTTTGTTATTTTACAACATCCCTACATATCGTTTCAGATAAACATACCAGCTTATCCCCCCTCCCGCACATTTTTTAGTATTACATGATCGCATTCTAAACTTTAGCTTCTGTTTATCATATCCATTTCTAATATATGTTCTGCTAATATTGAATGACTGACCGTTCAACGTTTTCATTTTAGCATATTCTCTTATATGTATGCTATATATCTAACGAAAAGCTTTATACTTTGAACCCAGATGCTTCACCACTTAAAGACGATAATTTAAACCTTACAATAAATCAAAAGACTTCTGTTGTCGACGCACTACATGATAATTTGCACTACGTTTTTGAAACGGGACGGTTTCACTTACTGAGTTTCGATTTACGAAGATCTGTTCAAGATCTTCTAGATGTTTTATGTTCAACAGTTAATGGGCTGGTTGTTCCAAAGTTGCCCAACTCTCTTCCTTGCTGAATGCGTACTTGTTTATATGTCTCCAGAGGCAAGCTGTCAGTTAATAAAGGGTCTTTCGGTAAACTTCCCACGTGCTTCATTCCTGCATTATGAACAGGTAGGTATACTTTTTTTAAAAACTCATTTTCACGGTTACTGATCAATTATAAATACATTTAGATGTACGTATGACTTCGTGATATTTCACGCAAAACTTACTAAAAATATAATTATATTTATAAAGTGGATAATGATGACATCTCTTGTTCTAATGATGAACCTAGTTTAAACATCAAATTCTGAAGTATACCAAAACTCTATCATTATTTCCAGCAATAGGCATTATGTACCGTGACATATTTGTATTCCTTGGTAACGAATGTTATTTGTAACATTTACAGGACCATGTCAAATTTTCTGTTCGTTTGTAGATATAACGCGAACAAAACCATGTCAAGTTTCATCTGTCATTCACGTCTAATATATGGAATATATCAATACTATTCAGTTATTTAAACTCAAATTCGTGGTATAGATCAGAAATATTTTAATAAATATAATTATGACAAGCTAGCGAGGCTCCATTTTCTTAACAAATGCTAAAGTTACTATTCTCTAACTCTTCAGTTACAGAATATTCCGTATATACGATTTTTTGTCTTCATCCCCAAATGGCTTATTAGATGTTTTGAGACACTTGAAAACTTTTTGAATAGCTTCCTTTGAGTATAATGGCATTTTCATGCCTTGAATCTGTGAGCAAATGTTCTTTAACTACTTCAATTCCAGGCTCTTCGTTATCTCGTTATTTGAAATAAAGAGGTCTGTTAAACTCTAACTGTCATTACTACACTTATTTTCGTCCGTAGACATTATCATACACTCATAAAATTCATTGTCTTCAAAGGGATATTTTTCTGTCCGTATCCAGACGTTTCAAATAAACTGAGCCTTGACACAAATTCGAAGTTTAAACACTTAATTAGAAAGCAAACAGCTTTTGTTAAGTGTGTCCATCTACAAATTGCGGACGAAGAATACCTAATAAGCAGTTTAATGGATAATTTACGGACCAAAATAGTTAGATAACCCTAACTACTTTTTTAATTTGGTTTAACCGTTTTTTCTCAAAAATATGTTCCTGGCTTTATTCTTATGGTAACTCACAGTATTGAACATCAATTCCTTAAATGTTCACAAAAGTTTTTTAATCATCTCGACTCTTTTTATTTTCATCTTAATTTCCTGTGCTAGTGCGAGGTACGACAATGCAGGACGATGGATGTTTATTCCAAATTTTATATTGTTCATAGCTAAATGACTAATTTCATTTAATCCATTTCTAGTTCAGAGTGATTTTTATATCTTCCTGGTTCATAAAATTTGACAATTGATATTTCACTTTCAGACTGACTGGTGTCATCACAGCAAGCTTCAAATGGAAGTAAATCACATGAATTCGAAAGTAGCTTTACTTCGTCGTGTTTTTATAGCCTTAAATATAACGAGAATTTTTTGACTATAGTTAGGCTAATAGATGAGTTACGGTTGTCACCAAATGGCAGCTATTTTTCTGTCCTGTGATTGGTCTTTTACATGTTATCTCTTCTCCCGATTAATATACAAACTGGACTTACACTATGATCGCTACTTACTTAGTGACTATCAATTCTTCGCTAATGACCTATTACACTAACTCTTTATAAAAACTGTGCTTATGTAACTGTTATAAACATTCGATCTCATCAAAATTTCGCCAATCTTCTCGTATTATGTTACCTTATGTATGAGTACATACTCAATTTATTTATTTCGTAATTAGTACCTCTGAATATTAATTATTTTATTCCCTTTATCTTTTGATTATTCCGTCAATCATTCTCAATTACCTTTCATAAACACTAATGAATTTATAACACTATCTCATACGCCACTAACTGATCAGTATCGACTTTATTATTACAATTTTCGTTGTTATCATTGTCATTATTATCGTCATGATGCAAAACTAGTTGAAAAAGGAGTGTTTATTCGCTGTATTCGAATCCTGTGTTATCTACTATACAGGTTAATATGAGCGATTCATTTGGTTCTATTATGATCAAAAATTTTCGTGCTCGTTCCTGTGAGCTTCCTGGTCTTAATGCATGTCATTCACTGGCTACTCAAGAAGAACGGTGAGATTTCTATTTTAATTTCCACATATGTAAATGTGACTGGTGATTACTGTTGGTGATGCTAGATCCTTATAAATCACTTGGTAAACGTCCTATTTTTGGAATTTTATTTTAGAAATTTGGATTTCTTGGTTTCACTCCAAAAACGTCCATTTTTACCTTCGGATTGTATTTCTCACTTGCAGGTACCCTAAATGTCATTGGTTCGTGCTTCTGGTTTCTTTTAGGATACACCTTTTCCTAAACCTGGTCTTCTCCCTCTGGTTACCAGGGCTGAGACGAATTAAAGTAGTTTAGCTTGTCTTGTTACTGATCCTTCACTTCGTTCGCCGACTTTAAGTGATCTTGTAATTTCTTCAGAAATAGAAATTACTGGTTCAAGTTCCATCGAATATTATATTCACTGCTTCATTACATTGTAAGGTGAAATAATACATTTCGAGAACCGTTTTCCTCCATAAGGTTCAAAGCATTTACTGTTTGAATAAATCAAATGGTTATGTAGTGCTAGTCGATTAATAGTAATAATCAAAATATTTGACTTAGTCATGAAGAATAGCTATTTATTTGTTAAAACGAGTATTTCTTTAAACTCACTTGAAAAAAGTTTTCATAAGAGTTCCTTTAATCTGTTTACCTACTGTTAACATATTAACAATTTCTGATGTAACTGTTACTCAAGGACAACTTCGGTGTTGAGAGCTTACCTTAATTTACTGGGGTCTTGAATACAGATCCTGGTGATACAGTTATATTTTGATTTTTCAAAATCGTATCAAACCTGTCTGTTATTTTGTTTGCATCAAAATTCAAATGTTCATGGTATCATCTTCAAATATCACTCGTGTTTTCAGATAGTACTAGGACTAAACCCATGATGTGTAACGTTAATACGTAGCGTAAAATTTAAACGTTAATGTAATTTCCACATCATGATAAATTTATTTCGGTTGATTGAAGTTGTCCGTAGAATAATCATTTTTTTATCATCAGGACTTCAAATAAAAACACTGTTTTAAGTTCCATACAAATCCTCAACTGAAATATTCATTCACTTAGAAAATCTGCATATTTGTTATTGTTTTTCATTCTTTTTTACAGATTTTTTAAGGCTGGTTGGAAAAAGCCAAAGGATGGACTATAAATCAAGTTTATAAGATGTTACCTTCCAGTACTCGATACAGGTAAAATTAGATTGGGCCGTTTTTCAACTTCATAATACATATTAAAATAAAATTTATCTTTCATTATCACTAATCTTCTGTCTCATATTTCGTGATCATTTCCAATATTGATGTAAAGACGAATAACATTTGAATCTAAACATTTTATATGAGGTATCAAAATTTTTGAATCAGACCTTCACTTCATGAATATGTGTATAGTTTGAGTTGAAAAAAATATAACGTGAGTTTACCTGAAGTAAGTGAGGATTTGCACTTGAAATGATATACCAGTAGATAAAATCATAACGTGTTATATATCCGTTTTTCTAAACTTGTAACTATGTAAAAGTAAATCCGATCAAGTAGAAGTCTTTTAAAAAAGCTATTGATAAATGAAGTTTGAACGCATCAAATGAACATAAATGTAAATACTATCCCAAATGTGAGATGACGATACAAAGTTTTTTGTGTTATTGTTTTTAAGATTCCATCAAAACTCTGATGCATTATCAGGATGTAAAAGTAATTATGAGAAATATTTGTTTAAATAACAACATTGACCAGTGAATTTATATACAATCTATACAATATTTTAATATGTTAATTAGTCAGAGTTTATCTAATCTTTGAAAGAGCTTGAAGCTTATTTTTTAGCCTCGCGATGAAAAATTTCCATGTAAACTTGATTCTACCACACAAACTATTCATCCAAAGGGGCCAACGGCTGATTAGTCTTATCCTTATGAGAATTAAGATTTAATTATTTAACTTTGATTTCTTAAATCTCACTTTACCTATTTGGACATGCATTTATAAGGTGTAGCTTTCATATGAGTTCGTTATTGCTTGTATTTTTATTTTAGAGTAGAACATTTGGAACTATTGGATGACCTTGAAGTGACAATGCAGTTGTTTGATCATTATTGTATTCTCCTGGCAACTAATGATGAAATAATCTGCCCAGATGAACAGTTGAAAGAATCATTAGCCACTATTGAGTAGTCATCTTCGTATATCAAATATGTGATTCATTACGAAAGTATATAATGTACTGCATTTTTCCTATTTCGATTTCCCTTTATTTTTATCAAGTATTTGTGTAATTCATCGTATAACTTTATTAGTGCCTACTTTGTGGTGTATATTAATGCCGTAAATGTAGACAACAAAAGGATCCACGTTAAAATATATTTGTACAGATGTTTGCATTGATTGTTTTTCTACCAGCGCCGAAGTGCTAACTACATCCCTAAAATTCGCAAATAATGATCATTGAATTCAGTCTTTGTAAGTGAATGGTATCGTGCCCACCGTAATAACTGAAGATTTTAGTCCCGATTCAATGTATAGCCGTCGATTATCTGCTGAAGAACCTCAGACCAGGACGAAATATTTGTCTGTAGCTGATATCAGATTGCAATGTGAACTATCTTCAGACACATCTTTTTAAAGGTTATACTAATCTCAGCACTTGATGTAATTCAACAGTACTCACGTCTGTGAAATAGGAGAATAACTTGATACAGATTTAACTATCCGATATCATCACTTAATAATAACTAATTACTTGTTTCCAATAGTGTCATCAACAGTAAACCGACGTCTTCATACATACATGCACATTTTCTGGTGTCATATAAATGCTATTTCGGTGGTAAAATCATTCATGTATTAAAAGGATTTGACTGATTGGTAGTTTTATCAGATAGATTTGCTTGTAGTTCGGGTTCGCATAATTTTAGTATAAAAATCTTTATAAAGTATTAGTAAACCAAATCTAGCCAGCTGAATGCAGTTAAGATAGTTTACAAGCTCAAGTTATTTGTTTTCTGCACTTGTCTGTGATTGTAAAGAAACTCATCCTCATAGAATGATTCGAACCCTCATTGTTTATTCCTATAATAAATAAGATTGGTCCAGTACTAAGAGGTAGACAGTTTACTATTACTACTCAGGAATCAGTTAGTCTCCCTTATTGTTTCAGGCATATAGTTAACATGTCAGTACAACTTTTGTCTCGATCCCTAAGTTAGTACATTTTAATTTGGTCCCAAGTATATTTGATTCAACCATTAACATAGCGCATACAGTTAACTATGTTGATTAAAAACTCGAAATGTTCACTTGTACTCTATTGATGAAGCTATTACTTTCCTGATCTATAGATAAAACCAACCTGTGTTGTGAGTGGATCACTTGGGCACCTTGTAATATATATTACGTGGATTAGTTATCACTTTGTAAACCAAACTATCTCAAGAGTCTTTCACATTCAGGATATCTTCTTAGTTAGTAGCCGCAAACTGATTATCTTCATAATTTGCTCTCTATAACGCAATTAAGTGACATTCCTTGTTTTCAAGATACTACTTTGAGATACAACGATCTTCCATCAGAGAAACAATCGTCTTTGTTAATCAGAAGTCATTAGTTGTCGTCGATCTACAAACTAATTTTTTAAAAAGTATAATCGTGATCAACTAATTTTGATTTCCCTTCAAATTGATGTTTACAATTTATCTGTATCTTAAAGGTTTTCAAGGTTTCGTAATGTAGCCAGGTATTGCTTTAGTTAATCTCAAAGCTGGATTGCTTATCCGTTATCCTAGTTAAATTAATGACTTGAATAATTTCTCGATTTATAACTATCACGTAAACAGATCAAAATATTCATGACTGTGAACTTTCATAAGTGTTCATTTTTCTACTTTCCATTGATTCCCACTTATAGAGTTCTATAATTCTCTAATTAACAAGCCATGATATATACCGAATTGACTTATCCTCGGCATGTATTCTTGATTGAATAAGTAAAGTTTATCTAACTGATTGGAATCTCTTCCTAATATACTCACACATTCTTATATATTCTGTCTGTTATCGTCTATTATTTAAATTGATAATCTATTAAGATAATCAATAAATCGCTGTAAATATATTGTAAGACATTCAAAGTATGATTTATACTTAACTTATTTGTCGAATGCTAAACTGTTCCTGGTTCATACTAATTTGTCTTCTAATTAGTTATGTCCTTGCTAGTAGAAATTTAAAATATAGATGGGGTCAGTGGTCTTCGACACCCTTAACTTGTTCCGTTACTTGTGGTAATGGAGTAAGATGTCGAGTTCGAAGTTGTCTTGATGGATATGGTAATGTACAGTCATCAACAGTGATGTGTGAAAGTTCAAATCCATATGAATCTCAAGCTAAAGAATGTATACCATGTTTTGTCAATACACGTTGCCCACGTATTCCAGGTTGGGGAACATGGAGTTCATGGTCATCATGTTTTCCTACAGGTGGGCAAAACATTAATAGGCAAGGATGTCATACAGGAAGTAGGACACGTTACCGATTTTGTAACAATCCTCCTCCAGAACCATATGGGTTCAATTGTTCTGGGATTAGCCATCAGACTACAGAATGTGATCATAATTGTGTAGATGAAGATTTTAGTAGCCTTGATGATATTGCTGACAAAATAACTTTCCAGGTTGCAAAAGATCAACTTAATTTGAATGCATATCAAAATATTCTACGAATGCATGTTAAGCAAAGTGCTCGAATGGACTGTGTAACACCAGCTTACAACCTTGCCAAAAAATTAACTTCTCGAGGAATTTTCGGTCTAACCTCTCGATTATTTAAAGAGCATACTTTGACTATAAAATGGCTTAAAAATGGAAGATCGATAAATCCAACCGATTCTAGCTCAGGATCTATATCTGAACGATTTTACAGAACTAAAAATCCTAAGAATAATCAAAATAGACTGTTTGATGAAGAAATGAAATGGAATTTACTGCCAGAGATATCTTCATTTTACATAGAGGATACATATTTAGTCTTTCCAAGTATCGATCACTATGATCAAGGTTTTTATACCTGCCAAATGACATTTGGGAATCACAAGTGGAATACAATCTTTTATACCTTGATTGTTACTGGTGTAAAATATATTGCACTAGAAGGTAATCCGTTTTATCTTTATTCTAATCTAGGATATTTTAATGCATTGGATAATACAGCTGTTTGGATGGAATCAGCTCAAATAGTATGGAAGTTGAATGGTTATGAATATTCACGTAACTTAGCTTTACGATTAAATCGACGCATTCAATTAATTCCTTATTTAAATTTAACACATCATGGAACATGGAAATGCTTTTTACTTATTCAAACGTATCGTTTACCAAGTCAAGCCGATAATCCACGGACATCTATTAATAGGATATATTTAATTAATGAGTTTTATTTAAAAATTTATCCAATGCAACCTAGTTTATGGCAATCAATTGAATATCCAATCACAACTAGAGTATTGAAACAAACAACTGTGATTTTACTAACGATTGGTTTGCTTCTGACTCTAATTATATTATTAAATATATGGGCTGCTAGACGTTGGATAAAACGAACACTAACAATTGATCAACAAAAGGCTATTATACAAGGATTGTTAGATAATGAATCTAGATTATTATTGGCCTGTAGAAAACGGGCTAGTATAAATAAGAACAGATTACTACCACTAATTTTACAAGAAGACCAACGTTTACAGAAAGCTAGTAGAGCTTTAGGTTTAGAAAATGAACAACAACAAATTGAAACAAACTAGAACTCCATATAAAATGATCAGATTAATAGACCTCATTTCACTGATACGTTGATTGATGTCAGGAGAAATCCACTGTTATCAGTAATGTCTGGAAAAAGATATAGTGTGAAGAAATCACCTTTAGAAAAACATTTTAATAGTTTCGCGTTCTTTCTTTGTGCTGCCACTCAATAGTTGTTTGTTTAAGTTGTTATGCCAGTTACATAATCTCATTCAAATTGTAGATTTATAATGATAACGTTTTTGATAATTGTCTAATAGTATCACAGGTACAATTAGATTTCAGATAATTAAACTTTGTTAAATTCAATCCATAAGTAAGATTATAAATGATATTTTCAAAGATCCAGTAATTTTTTTAACTCTACAGTTCCTGATCATTGAAACTGAACATAAAGTACATGAAATTTTTGGAAATTAAATAAAAATCTACTCTCAATTCTTATGACAATTGAATATTTATTCACTCACGAAAACCAATAATTAAAGTAAAAATAGTTGAACATAAATTTATTTTTAATAGATCTCTTACTTTCGAATGTTTATTTAATATTCATTATTTCGATATTGTTATTGTTCAATATTAATTTGAAATTGACAAAATACTCAAATAAATTCGAAATAAAGTTTAGAATATAAAAAAAAGTAATTTTCGAAATTCAGTAATAAATCTTTAATTATATTCAATTTTTATGAACATACTTATTAGACCATTGTAAGTTCTGAAATCTATCACTAATATAAAAATGAATAATCATTCGTTTACAATTTCTGTGATGTGTTAAAGAATAGACAAAATATAATCTTTTATTCCAGTGAAAGGTATCACGTAAAATTGATTGAACTTTAAAATTATGAATCAAATAAATACAGATTGGAGTGATTGAATTTATTATGATGGATGAAGTATTTTCTATAATAATAAATAGTATTATCATAACTTAATTAAAAAAATTGATATGATTTTATTAAAGCAAAAAATTTGAAAAATTCCCATATTGTAAATTTAAAACAATATATATAAGCGAACATTATTCATCAGACTTTACTCTAATATACAGTAATATTTATATGCATTGACTCATGATCTCAACTATTGAAATGACTACAATCTCCACAAAACCCTTCTGATACTAACTGACATATGTTCATTAGTGATTGACTTCAAGATGTATATCCTGGAGTTCTAGTGAGAAGCAGTAACCAGTGGGGTACAACCGGGCCAGTTGCGGAAACCACCAAGGAAATTTGTTACTCTACCTTTCAATCTGAATTTTCAAATCGTAATCAGACGATTGTTAAAGAACTGTAAAAACATGATGCGTACAGTAAGTTAATTCATTTTCATACAAAATTGAATGCCTAATACACCACATAAAAT